TTACTTTTATTGTATAAATAATATCTTTTTTGTGTGTGTGTGTGTGTGTGTGTGTGTGTGTGTGTGTGTGTATACACTACATTTCTTTATCCAGTCATTCATCGATAGACATTTACGTTGTTTCGATGTCTTGGCTATTATAAGTAATGCTGCTATGGACATGGTGCGTATTTACATTTTTTTAATAGTGATTTTGCTTTCTTTAAGTGAATACTCAGAAGCAAAATTGTTGGATCACATGATAGTTCTATTTTTAATTTTTGAAGATCCTCCATACTATTTTCCACAGTGACTTCATCCATTTACATTCTCACCATCAGTATATGAAGTTTCCTTTTCCTCCACATTTATCTCCTTTATTTTGATAATAGCCATTCCAACAAGTGTGAGGTGAAATCTCATTGTGATTTTTATTTTTATTTGCCTGATGTTGCACGTCTTTTCATTCACATGTTGGCTATCTGTATTCCTTCTTTGGAAAAAATGCCTATTCAGTTCCTCTGCCCATTTTTTAATCAGATTTTTTGTTTTTGCTATTGAGTTGTGTGAGTTCTTTATGTATTTTGGATATTAACACCTTATCAGATATATGAATTGCAAGTATTTTCTCCCATTCAGAAGGCTGCCTTTCCATTTTGATGATTTCCTTCACTGTGCAGAAGCTTTTTAGTTTGGTGTAGTCCTGCTTGTTTATTTTTGCTTTTTATTGCCGTAGCTTTTGGTGTCAAATGCAAAAAATTATTGCTAAGACCTATGTCAAGGAACTTACTGCCTATGTTTTCTTCTAGTTTTATGGTTTTAGATCTTACATTCAAGTCTTTAATCCATTTTGAGTTAATTTTTTTGTGTGGTGTAAGATAGCACTTCAATTGTATTCTTAAAAAAACTTTTTTTTTTAGAGCTTGGAAAACAAAAAGACCACTTGTGGAAAACTATGGGTTGTTCTGGGATACAATTTAAAACAATTATTGGCAAACTGAAGTGAGTCCATAAGTGGCAGATCTGAGCAGTTAAGAGACCAGATTAGTTTTATGTTTTTACACTTCAAAATAACATGAGTTCCGTGAATTAACAAACACTATTAATTGAATAAAAGTTTAATTTTCAAATATTTTACAGAAATGTTGGGTTAAGTAGTTTTATTTCTTTACTTTGGCATATCTCAGAACATTTGACAAGCAATATCCACTAGACGTTTCCAGGAGAAGGATTGAATAGATTGAATTTCCAAAAGTGACAATAACTTTTTTTTTTGCCTATGGACCATCTCATGGAACTAATGTTCTGTAGAACAGACTCTGGGAAATGCCATTTGAAAAATAAAGAAACCAATATGTGCATTCCAAAGAAAAGAACACTTGTGGAAGAAAAAAATAGTTGGGAATAACTTTCTAACTTTAAATATCTGAATAGCAGCACAGAGCTGTGTACCATGGAAGATCATATTGATTGTCTTTAGGGCAGAAAGTGTAAATACTACAAAAAGGTAGGTGTTGACTCAATGTGAAGAGGAACTTGACAAATTGAGTTATTTGTATAAAGCTGTAAAATCTCATCCCTCAAGTATTCAAGAACTTTAGCATATTTGGATGGGCAGAAAGCTTAAGGGTTTTCAGAATACTTTTCTAGAATTTTACTTATGATCAGCGACATATCCAGTTATTTTCTAGGATAATTTCCAAATTTCAGGTGGTTGATTCTTAGGACTTAGTTTTGTATCAGCATTTTTCTTCTGATAATATTCAAAATATTCCTGCTATAGAGAACATTCTGAGCCATCCTCTTAGTTTCCCCAAATTAGTGTGGGCTGAAACATCTTATTTTTTTAAAATTTTACCTAAGTGAAGCATATTTTGGAAGAAAATGAAATAGAAAGAATTCTAATTATGTATTGAATTCTAAAATAGATCTTTTTTTTTTTAAGAAAATTGCCACTGTGATGGGTTATATTTTCAGCTTTATTCCCTTCTATTTATACAACTATTTGACAGTTGATTTTCAGTGTTAAACTTGTTTTAGGCCATTGCTTGGTATTTATGGGATAATTCTCTTTATGGGATTATACTTTCACATTTGGCTCATTGAGGCAAGTTTTTCTGTGTC